GGCAAAATTGGAGGAAGAGTTGACTCCTGCCATCAGCGCACGACTTGAGGAGACCATTACTACTTCATTTGCTGATGCTCGTCCTCCATCAGGTGCATTTTCAACCACAAATTGGTACTTGACTTGTGTTCACTACTACAAATAAAGCTTTCAACGTCGGTTCTGGAAGGCTTTCAACGTCGGTTGTTGAACCGACGTTGTATCAGGCGACGTTGAAAGTCGTAACTTTCAACGTCGGTTCTAATAAACCGACGTTGAAAGTATGATTTTTTAAATTAATAATTTTTATTTATTTACAACCCCTTTACCCCCTTTTATTTATCTAGAAGTCTCCCTTCTCTTTATATTATATTTTTATTAGGTCCTCCATCTCTTTATATTATATTTTTTAGAAGTTTATTAATTTTTTAAGAGAATTGTCATTGGCAGGATTCGAACCCAGTACTTTAGAGTTGGAGGCCGATACTCCAACCACTAAACTACTAGAATTTTCTGATAATAACTTACAAATAAATTATATTTATATACAAATAAATATATATCCGTGTAAATATATAAATATATAAATATAAATATATTTATATATCTTGATATATTTATATAGTTATATATTTATATGTTGGATGTGAGGGCACACTCGAAAATGAAAGTGTGTGTCGAGTGAGTTTTCAAAATTTGATGCTAAATTTGTCAGCAGGTATCTTTATATGAGTTTGTAATTTAATGACAAAATATAATCTTTTATAATTTTATTTATATAATGATATAAAATAAATTTGGGAAATGCGTTATTTTCTCTCAAGCGAAAAATACCAATTTTCGCTCAAGCGAGACTTGAGTAAGTGAATTTCCGTGAGTTTTAACATATTTTCACTCAAGCAAGAGTCAATCACACTTTCACCCTCGATCGAAAAATACCAATATAATTTATTTGTAAGTTATTATCAAAAAATTATAGTAGTTTAGTGGTTGGGATATTAACTTTCAACCCTAAAATACTGGGTTCAAATGTTATCAGTGACAATTCATTAACTTAAAAGAATTTTTGGTCTGAAAATAAAAATAAAAATACTTTCCAGAAAATATATACAAATAAATATATATTTACATGGATATATATTTATTTGTATATAAATATAATTTATTTGTAAGTTATTATCAGAAAATTTTAGTAGCTTAGTGGTTGGAGTATTAGTCTCCAACTCTAAAGTACTAGGTTCGAATCCTGTCAATGACAATTTTCAAATTTAAGTGAGTTTTTGGGTGAAAAAAAAAAAGACTTTCCACATCGGTTCATATGGGAACTGACGTGGAAAGTGTCAATAAGTAAAAAAAAAAAAAGACTTTCAACGTCAGTTTATATGGGAACCGACGTAGAAAGTACTTTCTACGTCGGTTGACTAAGAACCGACGTAGAATGTGTTTAATATTCAACTTTCAACGTCGGTTCATCTGGGAACCGACGTGGAAAGTATTTTCTACGTCATCTCAGCTATAACCGACGTTAAATGACGACGTAGAAAGTATATTTTGTAGTAGTGGTTTCTAAAATCTTAGTCCTTATTGGAATTTACTGTATTTGTAGGTCCAAGAGTTAGCACAAAGGGCAGTTGTGCTGAAGCCACTATCGAGGTCACACCTGAGGTGGCATCTATTCATCCTGAATCTACAAAGGATGATCGATATGGCTTGTGGCTTGAGGTAGATGAAGGTCTAAGACTAGTGGCCCATGGATCAGTTCATGAAGGTGCTTCAACCATCCACAATGTGCCTTTGGATCCTAACTTGGTCAAAGTAGTGGTTGAAAAGGTGGTTGACGCTGAGGCTAGTGTCCCTATCCCCACTGAAGAGGTGCAGACAGTGGGCCAAAGCCCTTCAGACCTTCATTACTTGGCCCCGACATTTAGTTAGGTCAATCATGGCAAAGGTATGTATATGTATGGTTATAATACATCTAACACATAAATAAATTGATTTATTGTTTATGATTATATTTTATAAAATATGTAGGATGTTCAGCAGCCAAAAGACTTGGGTAAAACTATTACCACTCCTTCTGGATCTAAGGAGAAGACACCAGTTGTGGAGACTTCTTCAAATCCAATTTTTGATCTCTTGTCTCTTTCCCCACAATTGTATATGCATTCATTCCAAGTTCCATGGGATTGTACATTATTTGGGATGGCTTCTAGCAATACCCCCCTATACATTTCCCACACTGATGCCCTGGGGATTGGGATGGGCAATCAATGTCTAAATATAGCTGTTTTACAATTTTGGACATTGTAAGTTCATATCTTTCATGACTCTTTTCATTTTAGTAAATATATAAGCTATAAGTTCACTTAAATTGGCATATTTTAGGATGATGCACGAAATGATAGTGGAGCAGGGCATTGGTCATGTGTATGGATTCTTCGAGCCTCAATCCATACAAAAATCTGGGAATAAGCGTGATCAAATTCTCAGTTACATGCAGAATTGGATCAATGATTCTAAATGAGATATTTACCTTGGAGCATACCATCATTCGTAAGTTATCCCAACCTCTTCGGGTTTTACACAAGTTTTTTTAATAGATTCTAATCATGTGTATATACAGAAACCACTAGCAGCTATTAGTTATTTGTCCAAAGCAGAATCTTGTGTGTTGGTTCTGCTCATTGGGAAGGAAACTTGACATGGAGCTAAAAAATATTGTAAACGAGTAAGTATTTCTTATATTATGTCTAAACATCTTGATTATTCTATTTCTAACCCCCTTCTTTTCAATATATAGTGCTCTAAAGGTTTGTAGTACATTAGGTGGAAAACACACAAGTAAAAGCACGACTCCAAATTGGAATTTTATCAAAGTAAGTAGCCTTTATGTATATTATACTATCTATTAATTTATGTTCAAATTTAATAGTTATTTTTAACATATTTAGTCATTTTTAGTGTAACAAACAAAATGGAGGATACGAGTGCGGCTACTATGTAATGTATTGGATGTGGCTCATCATTTTTGGTAGCATTCAGGATAGTTGGAATGAGGTAAGTTGACATTTGCTATTATATTCAATTCCTTTAATTTTATTGCTTAGGGTTTACCATTCTATTATTGTGAACTTCTTACTGGCATTTAAAGATATAGAACCTTTGCCTATGGATACTATAGACATGGTTAGAAACAAATGGGCAGAAAAGTTTGTACAAGTAGTTAGGAATAGGATTGATTGATAATTTTTTTGTGTATTTTGTACATAATTTGGTTGATTTTGACATATATATCTATCATTTTATATATTAGTGATTAGCTGAAATAAATATACTGTCTGGACTGAGATTATAGCAGGTCGTGTACTGTTGGTGGCACAAAAACAGACCAACATTTAAAAAAAAAAGGGATATTCTACGTCGGTTATTGCATTAACCGACGTTGTAACGTCGGTCGCTTGAGCGATACGAACCCGAGAGTCCCCTTTGTTTGAAGGCTTCGTCGCTCAAGCGAGTACACCGGTCGCTTGAGCGAGAAATTTCAACGTCGGTTAGTTCAATAACCGACGTAGAATTTACTAATTTCTACGACGTACATTTGGTTAACCGACGTAGATATATATCACTTTCAACGTCGGGTATTCTGAACCGACGTAGAATCCTTTGACATTCAACGACGCCTGAATCAACGACGTCATTGGAACCGACGTTGAATGCCTTCCACACCCGACGTTGAATGATCATTCTGTAGTAGTGTGTTGAAATTTGATGTTCTTATATACCAAAATTGGATATTTAAATTAATTATTACTTTATTAGGCGAGTTGTGCTATGATGTATGTGATAAGCTTTGAAAAATCTAACCTTAATAAAAAATGTAGATAAAATCAATAAAATACCAAAGATGCCAAATTATAGAATGCTAACAGCCAAAGAATTCCATTCTTTCTTCCTTTTCAATATCACAATTACACCATTGAAAACTATACAATTATTAAATTTTATTTTGATAAACTCTTTTGACGTTTAATATTTCATAAAGTTCTTTTTTTCTAGAATATCATTTTTTTATTATTTTAAATGTGAACATGTTTTGTTTTCCTAATAATCTAAATGTACTTTTGGAACGTGAAAAAAAATTCCAAGAATAAAATTTTAAAATATGAAGAAAACAAAAATATTTTTTGACTAAAAAAATTGTTCATTTTTAACATTTTATAATGGGAATGTTAAGATAACAACAGAATGTAATGAGAATTGGTTTTTGAATTTTTCTTTCGAATTTTTTTCTTCCTATATTTATTTTCTTTGATTTTTTTTTCTTCTATATTTTCTTTCTTTTATTTTTGAAATGCATTATGACTTATTTTTTAGAAACACACTTCAGAATGTCCAAATATTTTTTTAAAAATCAATTTTAAATTGAATGTTCTAGAATATATATATTTTTAATTTTTTTTAAATATATTCTATAATATTGTTTTAAATTAAACAATTTAGATCTATTTCAATGTAATTCATATATAATATTAATAATTATTTTTTTATAATTATTAGAAAAGATATTTAATTGAGGTGATAAAAAAATTAAATAATTAAAAGATGGAGATTTTAAGAGATAGAATTAGAGAAATTATACACAAATAAACAAAATAAGAAATTAGAATAAAAAATAAAATTATGAAAAAATATTTTAAATATTTCACTTTATATATGAATCTAGATGAAGAAATTATAAGGGTGCAGTAATCAATAGTCTTATAAATGGTGTCAGGTCCACTTAGACCACCAACAACGCAAAGCATCACTGTCCACAATAAATAGGTGGTGCTGTCGATGGAAACAATGCAGCCTGGTATATTGCTACTTAACAAGTGAAAGAGAAGGTACTAAGAAACATAAGAAAGAAAGAAGCTAGGTGAACGTAATCTTCCTGAATTTCTCTGCTTGTTTCCCCTCCTGTAATATAGAATAAATAAATTGTCACTCTCTGTTCATTTCCGTCATTCTCGAGTGATCCAATGGCGACCCTTTTCCAGGGATTGGGACTTGTGACCCCGTTGTCTTCTTCCAATTCATTTGAATCCAACAAGCTTCTGCATCCATCTCGTACTTGTAGATCCATCTCAGGTTCGCTTCTCAAATTTCATTCCTTTTATCTAATCAATTTCTAACTTCTTATTAAGTTTTCTGCTTTTGTTTTGAATACTTAGTTTCTGAAGTCGTAGTATTAGTCACTTTTAAATGTTGTTTCTGTCATTTTGTGCTATAATTAATTGGTTCAGAGAGGAAAGATGGCATATTTGTCGTCAGATCTGATGCAAGAGTAAGCCAGCTTCTCAAGCGTAGAGCACGTACGCATGATTTGTTGGTTACTAATGCAGTTGCAGTAAGTTATATCATGACTCTCATTCCATTCCCTTTTTTGCAGTTTGGTTTGGGGAACAATTGGGATAGGGTATACATTTTGTCATAAAGTTAGTAATTGTGTATGTTGGTTGTTTCTAGACCCAGGGAGGTAGTTTTGTGGCTTCTACATCAAAACCTGGGTATGTCTCTTTCTACAATCACTTGCTAGTTCCTGTTGTATTTCCTAGTTATATTTTAAATCTTTTATAGAAGATGAAGCTTATATGCTTATCCTTATGCTCATAGACTGAGTTTATTTTGGCGTGAAACTGTAAATCAATATGTGTACGTGTCTTCGCCAAAAATACATGTAAGAATAATCTAATATGGTATGTGTTACTTCTCCTAAATTTACATGTAAGAGTAATCTAACATGGTCTTGTCTACAAACACTTGGGCCAATTTTGGATCGGGAGTGCAAATGGCAATGCATTTTGACGTAAAATCTACATACCTTTGCAATTTCTTCTTTTCTTTTCCATATTCCTAATTCCATCTAAGCACAGCTTTATTAGAGTGTGTTTGGTATAGATAAAAATGGAAGCATTTAAATTATGGTACGCCAAGACACCTGAAACATAGCTTAAACATTTTTAGCTGTGGATGACTAAAGAATGTGGGGTAATTGGCTACTGCTTCATCCCAACATCAGAACATTTTGACCCTTTGTTAAATGAGATGAAAGTAGGTCCAGATTGTAGTTGCAATGTAAGTAGTTAATTAAGTTTATCTTCTGGTTTTAATAAACTTTCTGAAGGTACAAAATGATGCTGGGTAGTTTTCTTCCATCAGAAAACAGTACCACACTGAAGCAAAGAAAACAATTCTCTGTAGAATAGCTTATGCAAACCCTTCTCAGCAATGCCATCCATATTCATACAAAATAACAAATTTAAACCATCTTATTTCCATTTGTTATGTTATCTAAAGGATATATCATTTACAAATATGAAAACCACTCCTAACAGATCATCCAATATACTTTAAGATATTCTATGATATTAAATCTTCTATAAAAGTGTTGTGTTTGATTCTTTCTTCTTAAAAAATAGCTAAAATTTCAGCACAAGATAGGGTGGCCAGCCTGAAGGGTTCGTGCATGACGGAACAAGTTAGAATATAATTTTTTCATGTGTTTTCACCCAATATTACAAGTTTTTGAAATATAGTGTTCATGTCACTTTACAAATCCTTGTAATGAAACAACTCATTAATCCCATGATACCTACATCGAAATTTCACATTGTACCTAAAATTAGTACCCTTACAATGTTTACCTTTGCCCTCAAGAGTCTAGAGTCTTGACATTTTTTATTCACTACACCAAATGTTCGCACAAGGTAATCAAAGTCTAAAGTGCCATCTCCCAGTTCCACTGCGCAATAGATGAAAAACAAAATGTGGACTCCCTTATTTAAGGTCCAAAACGTATAAGAATGTGACAGTGGATTGCTATGTATTTAGATAGAGAGAGTCTGCAAAAGTTGTTTATTTGTGATTGGTGGCCTCTTGATGTGGTTATTTCAAAGCTTTTGCATAGAAATTCCTAGGCAAACTCCGGTTAGGCCAAGGATCAGATTATCCTAGTTACTATCCACTTTTAGGGATGACAATTTCTTTAGGTGTGACAGAGTTAGGTTGCTGAAGTTATGAGAATTTTGGTACATTCTTGTGATGTGTAATTCAGAACAGTAAATATATGAAGTTGCTAAAAACATGTAATAATTTTCCTATTGGCTGCTAATAATGACCAATAAGATAGAATTAACCATGTAAGTATTTTATTTTTAGGCATGAACTTCTCCTTTTTGAGGCCCTACGTGAAGGTTTGGAAGAAGAGATGGAGAGAGATCCTTGTGTATGTGTCATGGGTGAAGATGTAGGTCATTATGGAGGATCTTACAAGGTGACTAAAGATCTTGCCACAAAGTTTGGGGACCTTAGAGTTTTGGACACCCCTATTGCAGAGAACTCCTTCACGGGCATGGGCATTGGAGCTGCCATGACCGGTTTGAGACCAGTTGTTGAGGGCATGAACATGGGATTTCTACTTCTGGCATTTAACCAGATCTCGAACAATTGTGGCATGCTCCATTACACATCAGGAGGCCAGTTCAAAATACCAATTGTCATTCGTGGGCCCGGTGGAGTTGGGCGGCAACTTGGAGCAGAGCACTCGCAGCGATTGGAGTCTTATTTTCAGTCAATCCCTGGAATCCAGATGGTGGCTTGCTCAACCCCTTACAATGCCAAGGGCTTGATGAAAGCTGCAATCCGAAGTGAGAACCCTGTGATTCTTTTTGAGCATGTTTTGCTTTATAACCTCAAGGAGAGAATTCCAGATGAAGAGTATGTATTGTCACTTGAAGAAGCTGAGATGGTTAGGCCTGGGGAGCATGTCACAATATTAACCTATTCCAGGATGAGGTATCATGTCATGCAAGCTGCCAAGACACTTGTGAACAAAGGGTATGACCCTGAAGTAATTGATATCAGGTCTTTGAAACCATTTGATCTTCACACAATTGGGAATTCAGTGAAGAAGACACATCGCGTGCTAATTGTGGAAGAGTGCATGCGGACAGGTGGAATTGGTGCTAGTCTGACCGCTGCTATAACTGAAAATTTCCATGACTATTTGGATGCCCCTGTAGTATGTTTATCATCTCAGGATGTGCCAACTCCTTATGCTGGAACTTTGGAGGAATGGACAGTGGTTCAACCTCCTCAGATTGTGACTGCAGTTGAGCAGCTCTGCCAGTGATTGCTAAAAAGTACTAGCAATTGGGTATGGTTTTGATAAAGCTATCGTGTTTGTGAGATTAAGCTAAATTTTTCATCATGATTTTTTCTTCTTTAATTTCTCAAGTCTAACAGTCCATTACTTTAAATTGTTATTTATTTTCTGTTAATCTTGCAATTTTTTAAAAAACAATATTGAAAACTATCAACCGAGGTATGTGTAAGAGTTACCCAATGCCCTATAACAAGAGATATTTGTAGTCAGTGCTGAACCGCTGAAGCCAGTAAATATCGGTTTTGGAAAGTCTCGTGTTAGTTTGAGATATGTAGTTCGTTAGTAATAGCCATGGGATTGCACTACTGCTAAATATTCGCTTGCACGAAACAGCTGAAATTTGTGTTCACGTAATATCTAGTGCGTATTTATTAACTTGAAGATAACCATGGAGGAAATTTAGTACTTGCTATTACGCGTCAATTTTTCCAACTATTTCTGCAACTACTAACTTTTAGCTCTTCATCGAGTTACAGGTCCCAGAAAATTTTATCGTTCATCCTAAATTCCTATTGCATAGCTCATTGCTCCCCACCAATTCTAACAATGAAATAAACATGAAGTAATAGAGTTGTGTTAAGCGTAATGGACTTGACAGCTATTATAAGAATTTAACATGTGACAAAGTTGGTGGTGGACTTTGAAATCATTGGGTTCTGTTTGTATGTAATTTTGAACCTTGGGGAATCAAACTTCAATGTTTTTACCACTTCTTTTGAATGTAGTATAACTAATTATTTAAATAGATAAGAAATATGAACAAGAACCATGAAAGTACTAAGATATCATGAGGACCAAAGTAGATATTTAGTAGTATATTTTGAAATTGTCTTATTGTGTATGCCGAATAATTTTTTGAAATGCTGAATGTCAGCCCATCTTTAATAAGGATTTGTTATTAGTTGTTGCTGCTATAATTGAATGCTTGATCACCAAATATATAAAAAATCATCAAACAAATTACTCCATAATGTAGTTGTATTTGGTGCACTATGAAATATAAGGTGAACCCCGAAAAGAGGGTTAAACAGAGTTTAAAAATTTATGGCAATGTATTTGGAAACAACAAATAATAGATTATTGATCGTTTCGTTCATCTGATACTTTTAAACATAAGATGTTTATATAATTAAAAATAATGATAATATGAGTAATATATTATAAATGTGTAATAAACAATATTGGAAAACACTTGCTTTTGTAGTGTTTTCTCTCAATGCAACTTAGTTCAATTCTCTTTCAAGTAATTCTTGAAGTGTTACAATTACAATTAGCATAGTTCTCTATCACTTATGGTTGCCACAAGTACACAATTCCGAGTTGATAGACCTCCTTTAACTCTCTCTAAGTAAATGACATATTCTTTCACAATGAATCACTCTTGGATTTTTCAAATACACAATGATTACACACAGAGTTTGTTTATAAGAGTAGGGTATAAATATCGAAAAGAGACATACAAATTAAGTTTAGATCTAATATAAAATAATCTTTCTCTTTTCTCTCTCAAAATAAAAACTTATATATTATACTTTGTACATTTGCATACAATACAAGGGAGAACACAAATTATATTCTCGTAAGAGTATCGTTTGAATAACTTGTTATTATATAGCCATCTTCAAAAGTTGTTTCTCATGAACTTGTGTGGTTGGTTGCTTTCTTTTCTTTTGTTTTATTGACATATTATTCCTTTTTTACGCATGCACCACTTGTGTTATTAGAAATCTATGTTGATACTCAATTATACCTTAATGACATTATTATTATTATTATTATTATTAAAATGTCTCGGAAAGAATTGACGAACCGTTTTAATCGATTAATTCACTTTTTTATCAATTAAATATACTTTATGAAAACTAACTTTAGTTATTTTAATCAATTAACTCACACAAATTAATTGATTAAATATATTAATATACTCTATAATTCTTCTATATAAGGCAGCTAGAATTATGGTTGCTAGTATTGGTTCAAGAACTTGTTTGTAGTTCTTGGAGTAGATTGAGATTCTACTATTGGTGTTTGTAATCAATTGAAATTTTGATTAGTGGAACTCAACTGGAATTAGTTGAGAACTAGATGTAGTCTAGTGAATTGGGTGAACCAGTATAAATTTTGTTATTTTTGTTCTTCTTTTCATTACATTCTTATATTCAATATTGTTGTTCTTTGATTCAAAATATGATTAATTTCAGTAAAACTTTGTAATTGGTAATCTGAACTTGAAAGTTGTGAAAATCTTTTTACAAATCAATTCACCCCCTCTCTTAATTTCAACCTGTATTTCTAATAATTGACACCAGAGTTTTTCCTTGAAAATTATTCAAGTTTTTGAACCAAAAGTTTTTTCAGTGGTTAAAAACAAACTTCCATTCTCTGAAGGAGCATCGATAAATAGACCTCCATTATTTTTCAGAATAGATTATGAATTTTGAAAGATTAGAATGAAAATATTTATTGAATTAATTGATAGAAACATATGGAATGTTATTAAAATTGGTCCATTTGTTACTAATAAAGAATGATCTGCATTAAGTGATGATGAAAGGAAAAAGATTCAACATGATTGCAGTGCAAAAAATATTATAACTTCTACTCTTAATATAGATGAATTTTTTAGGGTCTCTCAATGCAAATCTTCCAAGGCAATGTGGGAAGTATTAAAGGTAACTCATGAAGGCACAATTGATGTATAAAGGTCTAGAAAACACACCTTAATAAGAGAATATGAGTTATTCAAGATGCAATAAGGAGAAAGCATAGCTAACATTTAGAAAAGATTCACCCACATTATCAACCACTTGATGGGTCTTGGAAAGGTATTTGATAAAGAAGAGCTTAATATCAAAGTCTTGTAGTGTCTTGACAGGTCTTGGAAACTCAAGGTCGTGAAAATTTCAGAATCCAAAGACTTATCCACCATAACCACTGCTTCACTGTTAGGAAAACTCAGGGAACATGAAATGGAAATTAACAGGTTCAATGAGCAAGAAATTTTAGACAAAAAGATAACCGGATCGAGGGACTCCATTATCTCATCTTAAGAGGACAATGCTGTCACAAATGAATTCCTTGTAGGAAAACTAGAGGAAGCACATGCGGATGACATACCAACATTATCAAGAGTCCAAAAATCAACTCTCTAAAATCAATAATAAGTTAGGAGATATCTCCACCAGGTTGGATGACCTACAGTTCAACCAAGATTCATGGGAGGATTAAAAATCCTCTCGTTCATATTATCCTTTGGTTTCCATTTCTTGAACATTTTTTTCTTCTCTTATGTTGTTTTTATTCTCTCTGTTGGCCTGTATTGTTAACATATTAAAGCAATTTATGCTTCTTGTGAGATATCTTTTAGCTTGATTCATATTTTTTTCCTATTTTGATGAAGTCAAACAGGGGAGAAAAGATTGAAAAGGATAACACATGTGTACTAAATTCATCACACACAACAATATTTTTTGCAGATTCAATATTATTTATCTTAATCAAATAGGAGGAGACTGATGAATATCATGGGAAAAATCTTGGAAGACTTGTAAGATTTGATGAAATCAAAAGGAAGATGATTTGTTGTTGTAGTCCATAATGTGTCTGCATTATCCTTTCCTCAAACATGAGTTTATTCTTTCAAAAATTAAAGAAAAAGTTCCTCAAGAATTTTTAATCTACTAAAATTTGTTTTAATTTGTTAATATGTCCTTCAGTAAGTTTTTTAATTGATATATTTTCAAATTAATCGGTTAATATTACTTAAACAATCAAAGAACTTTATGATTCGCAATTTTAATCGATTAAAGAAGTTATTAATCTATAAGAATGTTCTTGACTAAGTTTTGGAAAACCTTGGTTCGTAGATTTAACCGATACATGACTCGGTGTTATCAGTTAAAACTTTTTGGAAAATAATAAAAGTTATTTTGATCGATTAATTCAGCTTTGTTATCAGTTAAAATGTCTCGGAAAATATTCAAAGTTCTTTTAATCGATTAAATCATGATTATATTAGTTAAAATATCTTAGAAAAAATTAATAGAACCATTTTAATCTATTAATTCACCTTTTATCAATTGAATACACTTAAACCCGATTTTCTAAAAGCTAACTTTAGTTATTTTAATCGATTAAGTTAAGAATTAATTGATTAAATATATCAGTATACTCCATAATTCTTCTGTATAAACAAATTCTCACTTTTATTTTAAAATATACTTTGGGAAATCATTCAAGCAATTTGATGAGTCCCTAGTTACCCTAGAGGTGGGAGATGTCATTCCTAGGAGGATCACGAGGAGCATGACTAGAAGGGAGACCTCTTCCTCACCTTTCACTTCGAATTTTTTTAGCATTTTTATTTCTTAAATAATAGAGACTCACTTTCGTATTTCTTTGTATGACCACTTTATGCACCTCCTTTTTGAAGACCACCACCTCTTTTTGGTGGAAAAGAAGCCTTGGGCATATAGGATAATTACATGTATTACCCAAAGGTATAGGACACTTTGTTTTTCATATCCTACACCCCTTTTTTGAGAGGAAGAAGCTTAGGATGCGAGATTCGTAGGTTTAGGACAACCCAAAAGGAAGCACACCCTTTTTTCATGTTCTCCACACCCTTAGTGACATTTTTTATGGGCTAGGACGAATTTAACATATTTGGGCCATGGGGACTCTTAGCCTTTAGGTTTAGGATAGATTTATGTCTCCTTTTTGTAATTCCATCTAGGTCCTTTTCCTAAAAACCTATAAATAGAAGGTTTCCCCTCTTATAAGTTAAAAATTTATGACAAGTGTGTGAGGTTTCTTCGAGTGTTTTATCTCTTTGTGTATCTTATTGCCACCGCCGTCAAAAGAGGCGGTCGGAGCGACGCGATGATTCTGACTTTCCTATTTTCGCGTTTTAATATGCGTGGGGTTACAACGCCCTTAGGTTGTCCGATAACCAGGCTGAACCTAAG